TCTTCTTCTTCTTATATTTAAAGTTTAAAATGTCTACATGTTATTTTTACTTTTATTTTATTTTTTCACACGTGTATTGAGCACTTTTTAATATTTCTATTTCCTGATCTGATTCAGTCCCTGACCATTAACCTTTTGTGTATTATCTATCTATCTATCTATCTATCTATCTATCTATCTATATATATATATATATATATATATATATATATAACAACACTTTTATTATTAGCGATTGCATCTAGCATGAAACAGTGCCTCTATATGTTGACTTCTATGTTCACTTTTATATATATATATATATATATAGGTAGCAATCCTTCTTTCATGCAATTTCATTAAATACGTCTGACAAGGTGATTTCATTTAGATTTTTATACAATGTCTCATGCGATCTAAAAATTTTTTTGCAGATGATAAATTATATAAAAACTGTCCGAAAGTTCTTTTAATCCGAGCGCTTTCGGCTATACATTTAGCCATTTTCAAGGATTAAATATTTTAACTGTTTTAACATTTTTTATATAATTTATTATTTGAAAAGAAAAAAAAATTAGATCACGTGAGAAATTGTATAAAAACTAAATCAAAAGCACCTTGTCGTATTCAAAATATATATATATATATATATATATATATATATATATATATATATATATATATATATATATATATATTATAAATTAATTGATTTAAAATATCGTTTTTCCGCTACACAGTTCTAAACCATGTTTATTTTTGAAACATGTTTTAGAACTGTGTATCGGAAAAAAACATATTCTAAATCAATTAATTTATAATATTAATGCTCTGTAAATTTACATTGAGCACTATTTTGTAAAAAATAAAATATCTATAAGAACACCGGATTATATATCTTACTGTTCTTTTCTTTATATATATATATATATATATATATATATATATATATATATACAAACTGGAAAGGGTTTTTGGGACGCGTTTCATCCAAAAACCTTTCCAGTTTGTCATATTTTTTTAAATACTGTTTGTTAATATATAAAATTATTGAAAATTCTATATCGTTTTATCATATATATATATATATATATATATATATATATATATATATATATATATATAGATAGATAGATAGATAGATAGATAGATAGATACTAAAAATAATGACAGCGCTTATAATAAAAGAAAAAGCAAACTTTCAGTAATATCAACTATGAACATGGCCACAATGTGCTGACCATATCTGGAAAATAAAACATTCTTATAACTCTAAATACATTCTTTCTAAGACTATTCTATTCATTTGTTGGTACTTTGCCGATGATACAATGGATAATTGCTCGGAATTGTTAATCGCAGAGTCATATTCCAATCCAGTTGGGTTCGTTATGTTCACTTCGATACAGATTCTGTTAAGAAAGGCATGAATTCACCTCTTCTCCCCCAACTATGGGTTAATTATTAAGACTTGTATCCCTAAATGATTATTATCTAAAAAAAATATAATACGAACGAAATATTTACATTTCGGCATTATATAACCCATAGAGGTTGATATGACGCTAAACAAAACCTGTCCCTCTTGCCTTCAATCTGTCGTGGGAGGGTAAGATTTTCTAATCCGCATTTCCTCATTTTGTGCCCTAGGAATTTCAACGCTCTCTTCCTGATGTTAATATAACACTATTTTTAAAAACAGAAAATAAATTAAGATTTTTACACGTTTTTAATTAAAAATAATCGACAAAGCTCGAATTTACAAACATGTCTGCTGATTATTTTCATCCAATTCCAGTTCTTTTTCATGCCAAATTCCTTTCAATACGTTTTACTTGAAAAGTGCAAAAACTTCTTTCTCAGGTAAGATCTACGAATTGAATATTGAAGTGTCTGCTACTTAACTGAACGAAAGCTTTGTCGCCGACCATGTCTTTGGAATCTGAAGAGCAGCATATTTGCGATGTTTGGCAGCAAGTGGAAAATCTTATTTATTGCGTCATTTGGGAGATTAGTTCATTATTTACGAATTGGAAGGAACGTAACAGGCTTTGAGGGAACGGAGCCAAATTGGGGAGGTCAGAAATGAAACGGCCAAAGAAAATACAGGAGAGCAATACAAGAGGTTGAATGAGGAGAAAAAGAAAGAAAGAAAGAAAGAAAGAAAGAAAGAGGAAGGAAAGAATGATATTAATAAGAAAGAAAGAAAGAAAGAAAGAAAGAAAGAAAGAAAGAAGGGTTGGTTAAATAAAAGAAATAATTATATAAAATAAGTAAAATACGAAAGAATAGTAGAAAAAGAAAGAAAGGAGAACGAAAAACGAAATAACAATTTTTATGAGAAAGAAAGAAAGAAAGAAAGAAAGAAAGGAAGGAAGAAGGATTGGTTAAAAAGAAATAATTATATAAAAAAGTGAAACGAAAAAATAGCAAAAAGAAGGAAAGAAAGAAAGATGATGTAAAAACGAAAGAATGATATTAGAAAGAAAGAAAGAAAGAAAGAAAGAAAAGAAAGAAAGAAAGATGGATTGGTTAAATAAAAGAAAGAATTATTTACGCACTGTACCCCCCTTGTGTAATATTGAACTACAGCATCAACATGCTGTTACAGTTCCTGTAGTAGACAGGAATTTCGGGGGATGAAGTCACTGGCCACATGCCGAACTAATTTTTGAATCCAAAGTTTTCGTTCTCCTACGCTGGTTACCAAACACAGCCAGAGAAGCAAGTCTGCCCTGCTATTTAAGAGATGGGGTGGATTCATACGTTTCCCAAGCGGAATTACACAAAAGTAAATTTAACCAACTCAACTGGAATTCGAACTCGGCAATTTCCCGTTCGGTGCATCTACCATCTCCCAACACCTATGGGTTAAACAGTAAGGTGGCAACCAGTCTACGAAAAGGATTATTCTGAATTCAAAATCGTGGAGATGGCAACGGAAAACCACTCCACTACCGACCAAGTTTAGGTTTATTAGCAATTTAAAATAAGGTTTCTAGCCTTGAGTGTCAGCCAGTCTATGAAAAGACAACTTTGAAATTCAAACAATAAAGAAAGCACGGAAAACTACTTCATTCTCCTCATCTATGAGTGAAATAGCAGGGTAGACTGGACTCACTCATATCAATGCTAGGACGAAAATTTGGACCCCAAACTGTGGAAAAGCCAACAGGAAATTATTCCATTATATTTCCCAAGAGCTCAGTGCAATTCAAAACATCGTATAGAAAAGGAAGCTATGGAGATCCATGAACGGCTACGTAGTGATGCGATATGACGTTAGAGGGAATCAGTTCAGCATAAATGTTTGTTCAAACTATTTCAGAAAACGAACAGCAAAATATTTCCCCGCTTTTGAAACCTGATGCAAGAAAAGTGCTGTGGGTGTTTACATATCGCGTCACAACGATTTCTTACGCTCCAAGAGTTCCCGAATCCTTTTGTTGGTAAATGACATAGTCTTGATGCAACGAGTCGAACAAAATACTTGAGGCGTTAAAGTAGCTGATATCATCGGCTCCCGAAGCCGGAAATATTCTTTACCTGTCAGGAATCCTAAGAAGACCCGACCATCTTGCGAGATGCAATATATAGGAATTCATAGTCTGCGTCCATGACATCCTTTATTGCTGAACGAGTAAATACCTTGTGAATTTTGCCAATTTTTTTTTTCGCTGGAGAATAAGAAAAAAATATTTTTAAATAAGGTTATTCGTTCAAACTTACTGACTAATGTATACAACCGCTTTCTATGATCAATGGTTAAAAATGGCTTTGAGCGAGTGAAGACTGTAGATCATGACTAAGACCATGACGCCAAATTTGTTCAGAAATACCTTTTTTTATCATTTTTTAAAAAAATAATTTTCCCCCAAGCAAGACAATAATGCGATTAGTGCGCGGGGCGGGGGGGGGGTGTTACAGGAAGTGAAAGGAAGGAGAAGACTTTAGTGAAAAGAAGTGGAGGAAAGGAACGGAATTCAGAAAGGAAGAAGATGGCGACTGATGTTGCATTTAAATTTTTGAAGATTGTAATTAACAGGGAAGCAAGAAATGAGAAGGGACTTCCACAGGCGTGAAGTGCGAGGAAAGAAACTAGTAGAATAGAAGTGGCGGTTGCATCTAGCTAGCTCAACAGTAAGAGGGTGAGACCTAATTGCCAATCTAGTAGCACGCTTAAGTTCATGTAGTCAGGGCATAAGAGAAAAAAAAAGCTTATCAGAACAGTTCTCATGAAAATATTTGTAGAAAAGACAGAGGGAAGTCACGTCACATCGGTGAGAAAGTGGCTGATGTGAAGATACCGGGTTAGGATCGATTACATTACAGACCCTTCTTTGGATTTTCTCAAGAATCTCGAGATGTACAAGGAGGAGCACCAAACCAGATATATACACCCCTGTGTAAATTAACTAAAACAACCCTTTTAATTTCCTTTCTTTCACTATACAGTCAGTTTAAAACCCAGTGGATCGATGGGGTGCAATGGATTTCTATTTTTTCCTAGGATTAGGTCATTTAAAGTGGTGTACGGTAATATGAATCTATTTTCGGGATGTATGGTGATAATATGTTTAGCCTTGAAAAATATTGCGTCATCTGTGATTGCATCAGATTTTTATCATGTCCAGACACTATTGTCTCGACTGTCGATTAGTTGTTCTGCGGCCATTGTCTGCAATGGACGTTACTCCAAGGTAACGTACGAAAATTGTAACGCTGCACGAACACACTGGCAAGACTTACCAGTGAGCAAATCAAAGTAATATAGACTGGCGTGGAAAATCTACTGATTTAAATCCTATTTGGGAATCTGTCAGTTTGTATTGAAAGACTTCGTGGAAAGGACATACGGAGTACTAATATGTGCCCTGGGTCATGTTTCATTGCAAAATAACAAAAAAAGTAAATAATAAAGGAATTATTCGTTTTGTTTCAATTAATGTGTACAACGGTGTAGATAGATATGCAGAGATTTATCTATTCATAGAATGGTATAGATATATTGGTAGTCATACATAAATAGATAGATAGATAGATAGATAGATAGGTAGATAGATCCAATGAAGCGTAAGCTGCTTGACAGAGATGGTAAAAAAGCATATCAAAGTACTATAGACTGGCCCGGAAACTCTCCTGATTTAAATCCAATCAAGAATCTGTGATCAATCTGCAAGGAACGACTTCGTGGAATGGACATACGAGGTACCGAGTCATTGGAAAAATAGGAGATAAACAGTAAATAATAACGGAATTATTCGTTTTGTTTCAATTAATTTGCACAAGGGTGTAATGTAAATTTATAAATGTGCAAGTTGGATTCTGAGGAAAAAAAAATCTGGCACGATACAGTGAACCAACTTTCCTAGCAAACATAGCAATTGATTCAATATATTGTTATTGGAAAGCGTGATCTCAACAAGGATCGGCAACTTATGGCACGCGTGCCACACGCAGCACGCCAAGCAATTTCCAATGGCACGCAGCCGCAAATGACATCACGAAGTCCGAACCAATAACTACCACAACGCAAAGAAGATATTTAGCTGTTTCAAAACTGTTCACTCGTTGAACTCCCATTAATAAAAACTTTTAAAAAGTTTTAAAACAGTTTATTTCTATTCAAGTGGTTTACATATTATTGTATCACATTATGAAATGGACGAAGTCCGACAATTATTTTAAGATATGGAGAATTGAGTTTAAAAACAGTAAAATCGACCTTGAACCGAAACGCCCTCTATGGCTCAATCGGTAAAAGCACGTCAGGCTATAAAGACACCAGAATCGTTTGAGGATACAGGTTCGATTCCTGTCGGAAGACGTATATTTTCTATGAAAATTTCTCGGACATTCAGGCCGGTAAATGTTGTTAATACTGTTTATTATAAAAACAGAGCATTTACTTAAATATTTGCATCTATAAAAAAGAACGTATACACATAAAAAAATTCTTAAAATATTATTGTATATATTACTATATAAAATGCATTATAGAAAAGGTATATTGACCTTGACTTGTATAAAAACACGTATGCTGTTGGCACACTGAATGATTTTAAAACCTTATGTTGGCACATAGCAAAAGGTTGCTGACGCCTGCTTGCTTTCTGCAACGGCTTTCTAAGATCAATGGTTAGAAAAAAGCATCAGCAAGTAAAGGATGGGGGTGTTGGCAAAGATCTTCCTTCTTTGAACCTCGTGGACTGGCGATACAGAATCACAAACAAAGAACTGTAACAAATAACTGAAAACATATCAACAGTAGCGAGATAATCAAGATGTTAACATTCCACACTACTTCAAATAAAAGGTTAGTAAGGAAACCGTCATCAATACTGGAAAGGGAAATAACAGCTACTGGATTTGAGAAATCTGTTTTTCTTAAATGTAAAAAGTTTGAAAAACTAACATTTTGACTTATGTTTATAAATACTTGTGACAAAATAAAATCCTCACATTTACCTTGATAAAATCTGTCAAAAATACGAAACTGTAGGTAAAACATAAGTTTTCTTTTATCTTCATATATATATAACCATATATATATATATATATATATATATATATATATATATATATATATATATATATATATATATATATTATTGTTGTGGTTGGTACCGGGAAGAGAGGAAGAAATCAAGAGATTCAACCAGAGACTCTGCCCGACTGCGACTAAGTCAACACATTCTCCAGGAACGGTCTTCCAGGGAATATACAAAAAAGACTATATGTAAATATTGTGTACACTTTCTTGTTTCAATACATTTTGTTCTAAGTACATTTTGTGTTGCATTATTATTCCATGCATTAGTCAAGTTTCAACATATATATATATATATATATATATATATATATGTATATATATATATATTTATTCTGTATATATATTTTTTTTTCTTTCTGTAGTTCACTGCTACCAGCAAGCAGAATTTTTTTTTCCTCCTGATGATGGCCATGTTGGCCGAAACTAGTCTAGGAATTTAAATGAAATAATAATAAAAACGAATGAATATTAATATGCAACCCAGTGTTTGTGAAAATTTTTAATTTTTAATATTTGTTATTGTTCAATATACATATATATATATATATATATATATATATATATATATATATATATATACATACATACATGTATATATATAATATAAAAGGTTCAAACACTCATATTCCATGGTTATAATTTATTACCAATATATATATATATATATATATATATATATATATATATATGAATATATATATATATATATATATATATATATATATATATATATATATATATATATATATATATATATATCGCGTTATACGGAAGAGGGGCGTATTCAGCATTTGATAATTTTGCAGCAATACGCGCTTAAAGGTCTTAGACAGTTTTGATTAACATTTATTTTCATGGTTAGCCTTAAGGAATTGTAAATGTACGACTACCTTACACTTAAGTAAAATAATAATTATAATATTTATTAAGAATTTATTACAGGAAATAACAGGTTTTACGGAAACGTTGTCGACAATTATGTATTTAGTTATATGACAAATGAATAAAAATCGTATAAATTTGGATGCGATATTCAATTTGTTGCTTATTTTTCATTTCCTTTTTTGTCAATGGCAGCATTTTAGAATACTTCGTCTGCAATGCTAAGTTTCCTAATTTGAACAAAGTGAAGCTATTTCGTTTACGCTTTGTCACCTCTCTTTTCCATTGTTGTTTTTAGATCGCTTTTTTCCAGGTATTTTGATGGGCAATAGAGAAATCCTGAATTTTAGAATGATCTTATTCCATTTGAAAAATAAATCCAGTAAAAAAGGAATATTTTAAATTAATATACGACAAAAAATAAAATGATTTCACTATAATTTTGTCACAATAATAGATATTTATTGCATAAAAATACAATTATGGCACATGGCCGAAAAAGGTGGTGTGTTGAGGCTGGTCTTCACTAACTATCTTATACCTAGCTAATCCGATTCACGACCCATTCACTCATTACAATTTACACATTCACCACAAAAACTCGTCCGTTGCCAACCAATCCTCCATACAGCATAATACCGCATCCTCTCAAGGGAGACCTATAAAACGCGCCCCATGCCATAAAAGTTAATAATAACTTATATATCCACCACACACACACACACACACACACACACAGATATATATATATATATATATATATATATATATATATATATTGTCACGTAGCAACGATTTCATTAACCATATAGGCGTTAGGCTAAAGTAAAATCTTAAATAAAGAAAATTAGTTAGATATAAAAAAAAGATAAATAAATAGATAAAAAAGAAATTTAATCAATGCTTCCGATTCGCGAGCGAATATATTCTATGATCAGCCATACCCCCCCCTCTTCTCTTCACAAATTCTTTCTCTCCTTATCCTCTCTTCCACCCGCCAGCCAAGGGCCCGTGAACTTAAAAGTGACCCGACGCGAGGATGACCTGGTTCTAAGATTTCGCGTTTGACCATGAGTAAACTCCAGACACCATCAGGGTCTCATGCTGCGATTCACGTGATCGGGACGTACGGAGCATGCGTTGAACTTTTGGCCATCACACAAACACTGCGTGATTTGCGCCCTATTCTCCTGCGTACCCGGTCAAGGACGAAGGAACCCACGTGACTGTCTGTGGGGACAGCGAAAACCAAAAAAGGATTTTTCAGTTTCCCTCTGACCAGCGGCAGTTGAACATCGCTGGGCAAAAAATCGTCAGACCGCCCACTGAGATGAGGAAGACCACGAAGTCTATCGACCAGTGATTGAACACTTGCGAAAAGAAGAAGAATCCAGGAACATTGTCGGCCGGCCAAAAGATACTGATTTATCATCAGAACTCTCGCTTCGGCGAATCAAAACTTTACATGAAGATACCAGCCCGACTGCAAGATAAGTTGGTTCTTTTGGCTCGATCTATTTTCATATATGTATGTATTCGCTCGCGCCTTCTATTCTTTACTGATGTCCTCCCCTTTGTTAAATGAATGTTCTTTTTTTTTTCTTTGTTTCGCTATATATATTTATAAATAAATGTTTAATTTTGAAAGCCATCGTCTTGTGTCTGTTCTTCGTTGATTCCCTTGTGTCGCTTCCATTTCTGAGTGAAGACCGAGAAAAAAAACCACGTTTTCCTTTTTTTTAGAACCCGTGGTTCATCTATATGCTACAAGTTCGTAACATATAAAATTGGGGCTCGTTCCGAGAATCTTTTCTCCCTGTTTTTTTCACTCAGTAAGAATCGCACAACTTCAGGGTATCGGCGAACTACAGGCCAAGATGTCGGTTATAGATAGTTCTCGCATCGCCCTCTATGGAAAAATTATGTAAGCTTAAGAAGGATGATATAGTTGAAATAGGGAAGGAATTAGAACTAGAGGTAACGAAGTCTATGAGAAAAACTCAGCTAGTCAGGATAGTCTGTGAGCATATGGTAGATAACGACGTTTTCGACGTAGAAGAATTAAATAAATTATCACTAGACACGTCGGAACTTTCGCAGGCACAACTCGAGCTCGAGAAAGTGAAAATTGAGGCCGAGGCTAAGGTCAGAGCCGAAGCTGAAAGAGCAAAGGCTGAAATAGCAAAAGCTAGAATCGAGCAAGAAACTAGATTTCGGGAGTTAGACGAAAAGCGGGAACTTCACGAAGCTAGAAGTAGTGAGTTCGACTTAGCGAAGCAAGTCCGACTCGTACCGCAGTTTAACGAGGCTGACGTCGACAAATATTTTCAGCATTTCGAAAAGGTCGCCTCAAACCTAGCATGGCCCATAGAAACGTGGCCAATTTTACTGCAGACCGCACTAAAAGGCAAAGCTCAAGAAGCGTATGCCGCGCTCTCAGTAGCAGATTGCGCTGAATATAGCATTGTGAAATCGGCCATTTTAAAGTCGTATGAGCTTGTGCCGGAGGCATACCGGCAAAAATTTTTAGAGCCTGCCGAAAGGGAGACAAACAGACTTATGTAGAATTCTCTAGACAAAAAGAAACCTATTTCGATAGATGGAGTTTATCGAAAACATCGAGGCAGATCACGATAGGCTAAGGCAAATGATACTGATAGAGGAGTTCAAA